ACGAGTTTCCGGGATACACGGAAGTGGCCCTGTAGCCGATACACAACATACCGTATCCTCCCGCTTCTCCTTCGCATCTCATCCTTTCGCCAGATTATTCATTCTAACCCTTTCCAATTCCAATCGTGGAAGAATCGCTATTACATATGGGATATATACCATACAATCAGTTGCGCGTTTACATGAAACTCTCTTTTTCATAAAGAAAAATGTATATAATTAATCATATGATTTAACTGCTTCATGTGAGATGAGGATATAGATTTACATTTCGAATTACTCTTCATTAGGAAAGAGATGATCACAACGGTCGGTGATAAATAATAAATTCCATGACAAATAAGATAGAGTCGTAATAATTCCTAAAGAAAATGCTATACGTGCGATACAGGATTGTACACATCTTTGAAATATTAACAATAATATTAAACGGCACCGATGCGATGTGCCCCATACATATACCATATCACGCGGAACAGCGATACAACAGAACGGAGGAGAGCTCGAGCGACGAAGCGGATCGCGATGCGACTCACTCCTAATTATGTCTTAATGAAAATAAATCGCTACATTTGTACGAGCGTCGTGTCTCTTTGGGCATTTCCACGATCCCCCCCCCCCCCCCCTCTCCTCTTTCTTTTCTATCGTGTTATCTTCGTATTCCACGCCACCTGTTTGATTCCCTCAAAGGGATACCAGTGTCTATTTGTCTATTTCGGTTTGTCTCGCCCTCCCCCGCCAATCCCATCCATACGACTTGGACGGAATACAACACAGTTTCCCAATCCTCCACCGTGCATCCTCCGCCTTACGTTCCAAGTTGAACAATCAATTTCAATTTCGCAAGAATCGCTTTTAAATCTCGAATTTGCCGTGCTGTTCGAAGCGACGCGATAGCATAGGGATGAGGTGAGTTAAACATCGAATTGATAATAAATCAAGACGAAACATAGAATAAGATCTCTGCATTTATTTATAATCTAATAATAACAGCAGTAATAGTAGCACAATAGGGATAATAGTAACAATATTACTTGATAATATATACAACTAAAAAATATGTACGATATATGTATATAAATAATGGAAAAAAATATTTTACAGAAGCGCTCGTCTACAAATATAACTCGGGAAACAACAAAAGGCAATCGGGAGTTTTACAGTCAATAGTATTCTTAAATAATCTTCTCTTCGAATTTTCTTGTATCCGTTTTAACTGAGCACATTTGTACAATTCCGTGCAATTATCTTTTTTCTTTTCGTTATTATGTTATCCGTCAAAATATCACTTAGCTCAGAATATCATTTATAATACACTAATATATGACAAGATCGATAAATTACATCAACAGTAATATATACGCATCATTTGTTACTAACATCGATCTCCAATATGTGTGCTATTATAGTTCATCTGGTTTTTTTCTTGCATGAATTGTTTCAATATTCCATACATATGTCACAGTCCACATAATAAAAAACATACCACTTCGCTTGCCAATGATATTATACATAATATATATCACTAAATGTCATATAAGTCTCCGAAACGAACAAATTATATAGTGTAATTAGTGTAAACTTACACTATAACGATTATCATTAAATCTTAAGTAACAACGCATCAAGATGAAGAATATGACATCGGCGATTCCGTCAAAAACTATTTTTCTTTTCCGATTTATATATTTTCTATCTCTTCTCATTTTCTTTACGTTATAATAATTCGCAACGTTTTATCATTCCAACAGGTGACAGTTGCAACTTAAGCTAATGAAATCTGCGTAAAATTAATAATTGGTTAATTATAAAGTAGTGAGTTAGAAATACCCGTGAAATGGGCAAAATATTCCAAAAAGATCCGATCCCAAACACGCTATAAAATATACTCTATGGATAAAGAAAAATAAGGATATATGAAAGATACGATATCAATTCTATTTAGTAACTTGCTGTGTCTTCATATATAACGTTGTCGTCAGAATGACTTGCTATTGAGCACGAGATTAGCTACGCATGAATTTATATCAAGGAAATTCTTACGCAACCAGACAGTTTTTTCACATCATTACACGAGTAATTAGTAATTTTTAAATATTCATCTTGGTCAAAATTCGACTGCACGTTTATTCCATTATCTGTCAAGTCTAATCGAGCAAATGTAATCAAGTATCAAAAAATATTAAGAAAAAGAGAAAACGCTGCGATCGATCGCGTAATAATCTTCGTCTACGAATTTATTTATTTTAGTTATGTCGGTTGATCGAACATGATTGATGATATTAATTAATGTATAATTAACATTTATAATAACATAAATTAAACTGAAGAAATAGCCTCGTCCTCCCTAATAACTCTTTGTTCAATACAAAAATTTACTTGTGAGTATACTTGCTATCTACAATCTCATTTCTATTCCTATAGATCGTAATATATGGTACAGTGGTGGCAGAAATAACAGACACTAACTCATTTGTTGTTCTTTTTCAATTTGCAAATATATGTATTAATGCTAGGTCAGATTACCGTTTCAGATTACCTTTCAGAATGTCGATACATTTAAAAAACATGTTACAAATGATCTCAGTTGATCTCTAGAATTAAATAAGTGCAAACGTTTTTCGAAGAAAGTGATTTCGGACTGATAGAAATAATAGGTACAAGCTGTTTTCCATATTATTAAATTTTGTTGGACACTTTTATATTGTCAGAGATTATAAATCTATGTTTAATTTAGTATTTACCAACATTATTTTGTGATAAATCTTATTTACAGTTGATGAAAAATGGGTAGATCGAAACATTGTACAGATGAGGAGAAAAGATTAATAAAAAATGTTTATAAAAATGGAAAATCTCTCGGGAAACTATCTAAATTGATAGAATGGTCTAGAAATATGATTGCTAACGCCTTAAAAGCACAGCAGTTTGTAGAATTGCGAGGGAGACCTCGAAAAACGACTGAAGTATTTGACCGGCTACTACTTTGGAAATGCAAAGCCGATTTCTTTGCGAGTTCTTTTACAGGAGCAAACTAATGCACTGATATCAGCAAGAACAATTCGGCAGACTGCAAGATGCTAAATTGTGTGTTAGAACTCCCAAAAAAGTGCCACTGTTGAGTAAGAAGAATATTAGAGATCGTTTAACTTTTGCGAATATTTAAAAACTGTTGGTGAAGAGAGAGAGAGAGAGAGAGAGAGAGAGAGAGAGAGAG